GTTGAAGTCAAGATTGACTACGGCACCGGTGTTGACCCTACCAAAAGGTACGGATGGGTTTGTGGTATATTGTGATGCTTCAAGGGTTGTACTTGGGTGTGTATTAATGCAACATGGCAAGGTGATCACTTATGCTTCCAGGAAACTCAAGAACAATGATAAGAATTATCCAACACATCATTTAGAGCTTGCAGCAGTGGTGTTTGCATTGAAGATTTGGCGCTACTATGTTTATAGAGTCCATGTGGACATATTCACGGACCATAAGAGTCTTCAATATATCTTCAAGCAGAAAGAGTTGAATCTAAGACAAAGGAGATGGCTTGAGTTACTCAAGGACTACGACATCGATATCATCTATCATCCGAGGAAGGCTAACGTTGTGGTGTATTCTCTTAGCCGGAAATCTATGGGTAGTTTTGCTCACTTGGAGGCACACCGAAGGTCGTTGGCCAAGTAAGTTCACAGGTTGGCTAGTTTGGTAGTCCGGCTTGCGGACTCTAGTGAAGGTGGGGTGATTGTGCAACATAGGGCTGAGTCAAGTTGGCTTGCTTAGCAAGTATGGCTAGGCGCCATCACGGCCTAAGATGGGATTTTGGGTCGTGACAACCGACACCTTCAAATGTGCATTGTTTGTACTTTTGGTATAAATACCCCTATTTCGTGATTTTCACTCATTTGGTCATTTTGAGAGCTACAAAACTCTGATTTGGGAGATTTTTGAAGAAGAATTCAACTAAATCATTGGGGTAAGTCATCTTACTATGGATATACTATATACTACTTGATTTAAATATTGTTTTGCCTTTGTATCAAGGATTTGAAGTATAGAAATTTGGGTTTTTGGTATGAACTCAAGAGGGTAAATTTAGGGATTTTGAACATGAATATGGATCCTGATTTAGAATCTAATCATATATTTGGACTCGACAGATCATGGATCATCGGGATTTGATATTGGTTCCTAATTTCAAACACATGCGCCTGGATTGACTTTTGTTGACTTTTTACAAATTCTTCGAAGGTTGAGGTTTATTTATTAGGATTGCTTCCTATAGAATTGGTTGAAGTTTGGCTAGATTAGAGCTAGTTAGAGAAGATTTCAAAAGGAAGAGCGGTTTGGAGCTTTTGACTAGCCTAGATGAGATAAGTCTCTTGCCTAGCTTTGATTGAGGGAATTATTTCCAATAACTAGTATTGTTTTCTGCGGAGGTGATATATATGCAAGGTGACGAGCGTATATACATGTGCCAGGTTTATTCTTGCTTGGGATAGATTGTAGACTACTTTATGCCTTGTTTGATTATGTATTCTACTTGCTCTATGTTTTACTCAATTGAATAACTATGTGAGCACAATAAACCATGCTAGAGATAATGTTTAGGTTAATGATATCTTGATTTTGGAATGATGAGCTATTCATAAAGATTATTGATGTACTTGATTTAGTCGTATTTACATTTGTTATTAAGAACACACGCCTGCACATATTATTCTTGTGATATACCTTAAACTGTTTTATGACTACTTGAGTTTCCTTACCCCTATTAAAGACTACGTTTGGGCTTTTGATGCTTGTTTCGGCACAATGATTTTTTGGATGATGGATTATATGTTGGGACCGTAGTCATACATACACAGAGTACATCCTATCTAGAGATCATCTCTTGTATACATGCATACACTCTTGCATGATTGTTCCTCCCTCCATGTGTTATATCTTGTTCATATGCATACGTGCTTGCGTATGGCTCTCTGATATGGTCTGAGGATTATGGCACGAGGTCTCTACCGTGCAGTTATTGTGAGATTGTTATTATAGTGACACGAGGTTTCTATCGTGCGATTGTTGTGATATTGATATTGTTTCGGCACGAGGTTTCTACCATGCAGTTGAAGTGACATTGTCACTATTATGGCACGAGGCCATTGTCGTGCAGCGTGCGGATATGGATCAATCCCCTTAGGGTCGCCCTCTTATGTTTCTCTCTTGATGGCATAAGGTTGTGAGAAACTGATGGATTTCTGGTTGATTGTGATGTGAGATTCGATGTGATGCATTATTGAGCATAAAGGTGAAAGCTTTGACTATTCAAGTGAATTCTTTGTGCATATTCATGCATTTACATGCTTTATTCATGCATATCTTCTCTATATTCTAGTTGATGTATTTTAAATATGCATGGGACTTGTTAGTGAGTTGGTGGACACTTGGAGAGTGTCGAATTAATGAAAGGGGAGAGTTATCATTATGTTGGACACATGTGAAGGTTTCATAAACATCCTATTTGGAAATTTATATGAAATTGGATCATTTTCATATATAGACGCTTATATCCAAGTAGAAGTATTTGAGCACACACTACTTGGTGCATGTCTCTTTTGTCTGCTAAGTTGGTGCAAGCCGTATTTGTTTTGACTTATTTAATTACAAAAGGATACTCATGACCTCTTCTTCGATTGTGCATCTTTATTATTGACATATGTTGTTCTATGAAAGGATACTCGTGACCTCTTCTTCGATTGTACACCTTTATTAGTGATATATGTTGCTATATGACTATTTTCTTGGATACTTCTCTGTATTATACATGTTATTGAGTTGCACATGTAATATAAAGTGAGAATCTTTTGACTAAAAACCTCGTCACTAATTCACTGAAGTTAGTTAAGATGTTTCTTGAGTACATGGGGTCGATTGTACTCATACTATACTTCTGCACCTTGCGTGTAGATTCTAGAGCTGAGCTGTTATGGAGGACAAAGGCTAGCAATAGAGACGAACCAGCGTTCCATAGACAGGTTATCACTTGTTCATGGTAGCTTAGGATTTGTACTTCTGTTTATATATATTCAAACAGATATTATATTTTCTTTGTACCAACTTTGGCTTACCTAGCAGGTTAGGTTAGGTGTCATCACGACTTGTTGTGTTACAATAATGAAGAGTCGTAGAGGTTATACGTGGAATTGCTAGTGAAAACAATTTGAATTGGTTGCCCAGTTAATTTAGGATCAATGCGCTTAACGTGTGTCCCTTATCTATTGAGGTAGGCTTATTTTTGTCCTTTAAATATAACCATGAGCATCTTTCGTCCCTTAAGTTTGTTAAAGTGGATAACAGAATGGTGCTAATTTGGGGTTAAAACTAACGGTTGTGCATCTCACATACAAAGACCGGCCACACAACCTTTTCCTCCATTCTCCATTATTCATGATTTCTCCCGAATGTATTCGTTTTCTTGAAAAGATTTAATGTAAATTTATAGGTAAAAACACATAAAGCCAGTTAAATTCCTTAAATCAGCAAGTGTGAAACTAAAAGAAAACAAAGCCTAAGCTACTGAGTCACAATGGGTGAAACTGAAAAGTGTTTCTTTTTCAACTTCCTTTTCTCTGAGTTTATATGGTTCTTTGTTTATATTTTGTTGAACTTTGAAGGAAAAAGACACAGGATATAATTTTTGTGTCATTTGAGGTTTCAGAGATTTATTGCTTCTTTTTTTGTTTCTTGGAAATAGTTCTTTTTCCCAATTATTTTTGTTGGTGTTGTGAAAAGTGGAAGTTAACACGTTTAGAGCTCGTTGGAGAAAGAAAAGAAGATGGGTTAAATAGATATCTGCAAAATTTTGTATGAATGTGTGAATAGATAAAATTCAAATAATGGAGAAGGATGTGAAGAACATTCAGATTATCAAAGTAAGATCATAAAGAAATTCAAAGAACTAGTAGAATAAGAATATAACATGCAGAGCAATGATGAATTGGCATGGCTCTTGAGCGTCTGAAGATAGGCTGCAGAAAAATTCCCATGGATGAGTTTCGTTTTTTCTCCTTTGTTTCCAAAAGAGAGAAATTCAAGTGATTGTGAACAACGGAGCATGGAAGAAAAGGTTTTGTGCTGGTCTTTGTACGTGAGATGCACAACTGTTAGTTTTAACCCCAAGTTAGCCTCATTTTGTTAGCTAGACCAAAAGTGCTTCACTTTAGAAACCCTAAGGGACTAAAGATGCTCACTCCCCAATCAATCGCTGTAACTGGCTGTAAAAGAGCTGACCGTCTACTATCCATGTCATGCCTTGGCAGGTGAATATGAGAGAGAGGTTGTAAGTGCACTCCCTCCTTCTCCATCTTCTGGAAAGCACTCTTTGAACATGCTGACATAATGATTGACACTCACATCTCTCTCATTTCCAATGATTTCGCTACACTTTACTAGTGCTTTCCTAGAGTATATTTAAAGGACAAAATAAACCTATCTCAATAGAAAAGGTACAATTTTGGGTAAAAACTTTCAAGGATATACTGAATGATATCCAGAAATTGTAAGGAATGATATATGCAATTTCGAGACCATTTTCTTTAAAACCTATATTAACGTAATTTGAAAAAGTTTCCATCCCATTCAGATACTTTTCCGAGCGTAGGATGTTTTATGATTCTTGTAACTTTAGGAAGGTAGTAAGAAAGGACTTGAACCCATAGTTTAGTATGGTCTTAATGAGCTTTGAAGCTAAGCTGGTAAGAACGGATCGACTAATCCTAATTTTTGAAGAGGCAAAGACACTTAATTTTAGGTACCAACTTGTTCAGCACAGGTTTCTGCCGGGGGTTTGCTTGTGTAGTGTTCTAGTTAATCAAGGATGGATGGTCATGCACTTAAGAGTATTCTACTTCTGAGCAGCGGCAATATAAGTTAAACTTACACGGGCAGAGCATCAAATTTATCATAGCATCAAGAATTCCATAGTGAATATAATTACTCATACTGCAAGTATTCAGGTGTAAATTAAAGTTTCCTTGAGAGTAGAAACACATGATAACCAAACATAACATGCTGAAGTGAGACCACAAGGGTAATCAGAGGCCAATTCCAGTCAAATACTGCGAATTAGTAGGAGATTTGGAGAAGAGCTAAACTACAACAGAATGCAGTCATATGCATACAAAAATGCTTAATTAACGTCCCATCGATGTAGGGAAGACCTTAACTGGGGAGATATGAAAGTAACCAAAACATAAATATAAGGAGAACTACTCGTTAAAATCATACATGTATTACAAGAATCATAAAATATATGGACTGATCCACCTCTACTTGATCTCAGCCAAAAAGCCAGGAAAGATATATTGATTGATCCGCCTTTAACTAACAAAATTAATACGATTCCAACAACTTCAAAGGGGAAAATATTAAAGTAAAAAGACAGCAGACAAACTATGTGCTTGTTATTAGCAATTACAGCACTAGGATTCTTCACCTGCATCGAGTTGTTGTCCGTTTGATGCAGTATTTCCTACAAGTGGCCTTTTCACAGCTGAAAATGACAATGACAACAAAATCAGTGAAGTGTTTCATCATGTAGCTAGGAAGAAATTCAATGCAATTTATACTAGTCTCGCCTATGTTTTACAACAGACCAATTGTAACTCTTTTTCTAGCCGAATTGATAATAGGCTGGTTAGCTACTGTGAACTAATTCAAGGATAATACTTCTCCCCTGACACTGGTCCCCCAAACGAAGAAATAAAATTTGACGGCAATTTTATGTTTTGCAATGATAGACTGATAACATATCCATTACCTCCTAAGCAAGAAGCACATCAACCATTACGACAAAATGCAAATTAAAAGAATACCCATTAAAGGATTCTACAATCATTTTTCTCTCATGAGCAAGTAAAACACAAAAGGATGGAGCACAAAAGTTCAACTGATCAAACAGTCAGCAGCCAAAGCAGTGACTATCTGAATCATCGAAACTTAGGTAAACATTCAGAGGGGCAAAATCAGAAAAGAAAGACTCACATTTGATGGATGATCCAGCAAGACAAGTCAGCCTGGATTTTGTATTGGCCTCAGCCAGTGGAATTGGCTTCTCTTTCCTAGTCATGCGAACATCCCAAACACGTATGATCCCATCTGATGATGCAGATGCTACTATGTGTTGGTTTTCTTCAGCATCCCCATCATTGTTTTTGTATAAAACAACAATGCCTTTCACACGGGTGGAATGTGCATCTTCAATGCTATATGCAACTTTCCCACTAGTTATGTCCCAAGCTTTAATATTGCGCTCCTCTCCCCCAGTAAACAAAATACCATGCTGTAAAATATTCCTTTCAGCTTCAAGAAGTAAATCAATGAATCGAAGAAAAAAAGCTGTGGCATTCAACTAATCTTTCCATTAAATATATATAAACCAAAAATATTTGCCCCGTGCTTTGAAGGTGAGGTGGTAGGAAACCAAGCCCAAGATGATAGAAAAAATAAAAAGAATGTACATGCAGGGAAAAAAGGATGGGATAAGAAGCACCTCAAGGTGTGGTCTAGTGGTTAATGAAATTGGAATCGGCGACAAAAAATGTTATGTAGTTTCTTCCTATCTTTTTATGTCGTGGTGGACAAAGCTACCTAGTACCTGCATCCATGAAAAGTAGCAAGTACCATGTGGATAAGCCGAGGTGCTTGACAGCTGACTCGACTACCACCATTGTAGAATAAAAATGATGGGATGAATTAACCAGGAAAAAGACACAGGAGAGACTCATTTCTAGATATATAATAAAGTACTGCATTTGTAACTTGTAAATATGTAAGGAACTTGCACACGGCCCATAAAGTGTAGCAGGTATCTATTTAACCGCCAGTAAAGCACAACGCATGACACCTAAGACAACATGCAAAGTGGGGAGTTCCTGAGACCAATCTTATTCTTTTGGGTCATGATATCTGATTTTTATTTGGTTTGACAATATCCCATCTCAAATTCTCAAGCTTCAAAAATTCCAGCCTAGTCCAGGGTTTCTCAATTAACCTATTATATTCCACCTGGAAACTTACAACACATTTAGAATGTGCTCAATCACTGGGGAAACGAGGAACTATAAGTGACAGGATTTGCTGGCGACAGATATAGGCAACATGCTGTGTTCTGAAAAGTTCAGTTGAGGACTTCAACTAGCTAGCTAAGCTTCTCTGATGGCTATTTGGGTTAAAAAGTAATAACATCCAATATCACCACCAACATGCTCTCACCGCAGATGGAAAAATCTAGTACTATTTGCAAACAAAATCCAGTAGCCATGGCTATTCTACTCGCTCTTCTAGGTACGGGATACCATGGGGAATAATTTTGGCATTAGTCCAGTTGAATACACTTTAGGAACTAAAAGAATGATAATCAGTAAATCAAGTAGATGAGCGCACACCAAATAATCAATGCATATGCCGCCACAAAAATTGAGCAGAGTTCAATTGAAACTCACCGTCCCGGGAGTGGCACAAAGCACCTTCTTGTTATTATCAAGCTCTAGAACAATTTTGGCATCTTCAGATTCATGTACAGAAATTTTGTCATCCATAACCATATAAAACTTTTCACCAGTATCACTATAATTAACCAAAGAAGCTTCTTTACCCAACCTAGAGTAAAAACTTCTCCTTCCTCTAACCAAATTAATCATAGCCATACATTCATCTCTTCCCACAGACAACGCCAACCTCCCCGACGGATGAATACACACAGAATTCACCGCCTTACGATGAACTTTCACCGTTTTTAAATGAACAAATGGGTCGGCATCGTATATCGATACGGTGCCGTCGTCAGCGGCGGCGATTAGGTTACGAGGGAAGGAGAGTGAAGGAGGGGTAAGAAAGGAAAGTGAAGTTATGGTGGCGGACTGGTGGAGGGACCCGATTTCAGAGCAAGTGGAAAGGTCGTAGATTTTAATTGTGTCATCCGCGCCGCCGGACACTGCGACAGAGCCGGCGACGGCTGTGCATTTGATTGGTGAGAGGTGTGAGGGGAAGGAGAAGAGTGGGGTTAGTTCGTACTTTTGATCGTCTTTTGGGGATCTCAACTTGAATCCCCATATGAAGCGCTCGTATGAGCCTGCAATTAGACTCATCGTTTTACGCAGTGTAGAGAGAGACACAGGTTTGTGTAAAACCCTAGGAATGAAATCGTGTTTACTGTTTAAGGAATGGGGAGGACCATAATTAGACGAGCATATGACATTATGGTCCCTGATTGTTAGAAATGTACAAGTTTCTAGTCTAAAATATTGATTTGTAACAATGTGGTACTCGAACTATTAACTATTTTTTTCCAGCAGAATTCTACTTTGTCTACCAGATAACTGAAGGTATCTTTCTTTCCACCATGCATCAAGGGAGCTTCGGCTAATCAATCCTTTTTATCAACTCAATTGGTGAACTAATCCTTCAGTTATAATTTTTTACAAAATGACCCCTTTTTTTAGTTAAGGAGAATTAGGATTAACAAAGTGAAAAGGTGTATTCTGTCCACCACCAAAGTTTGGAAAATATAATTTGAATCAAAATATAAATAAATATTTTTTAAAAAAAATGAAAAAAAAAAAAAAAAAAAAAAAAATTATGTGCCGAGTGATTTCTGCCACTGCTAAGTTTTGTCCATTTTTCAATGTTACCATTTGTATTTACACTATTTTATTTGTTGGATAAACATTATGGAAAAAGTATTTTCTTTAAAATTCTTTAACATTTTCATGTCTTTGTGTTNTTTTAAAAAAAAAAAAAAAAAAAAAAAAAAAAAAAAAAACTAAATTAGTACCCTCCATAAATCCCCTGCTTTCGGCGTGCCCTAACAGTTCTTCTAGGAAAAATCCCCATTGATTGAGCTCAATTTTGCTCCATAGCTAGCAAATCTCAGTTTTCCAAACTTCCTCCATCCTCATTGTTGTCTTAGCTCACCTTCATCGCTGCATTTCCTTATTTTTGCATCCGAAGAGGAAGATTCAAATTTTCGATTTATGCAATCGTTTTATGAGTACATTGTGTTAGACATTGTCACGATCCAAAATCTCACCAACAGTCGTGATGACACCTAACCCCTATGCCTAGGTAAGTCAATATCCAATATAGAGCAAACAAACATAATCAAGGTGAAATAGAACAGAAATAACCTAAATAGCGAAATAAGACTTCAATAACTGATAGTATATAGATACTACAACATCAAATTTTCCAAAACCTGGTAGTACGGAATCATGATCTCTAAAACAAGATACAATAGAATCTCTCAATAATGCAATATTGTCTGAATAAAGATAACAATATGAAAATAGGGGATGGGGACTCCAAGGATCTGATAGCGATCATGCAGCACTACCTGGGTCTCCTCTGACAGCTACTAGGCTCCCTCTTAAAGTCTGTCACTGCCAATGCCTGGATCTGGGAGATGATTTAACCGAAGTAAGAGTGGCAGATTAGCATATAAATTCACTAATAGGGTAGTCGTGCGCCTTGAGAAAATATAGAATGGTTTGGAATCGTGTTAGTATGTGAATCGGCCTGCAGACTCTATTTGGAATAATGGTTAGTGTACAAAGAAAAATTGAATATGGCAGAAAGGAGTGTGTTTGAAATGAATAGAGGCGTGAAGATCTGATTATCGTGTGAAGCGCAATATAACTTGAGTTCGGAAGGTGTTGTTGATGTACAGTTGAGGTCAATAGGGTAAGTGCAGACTTATACAAATGGTGGGCGAGCATGAACTCAGGAGAATTTACGGATTTAGTGGTCGTTGCACTCAGTGCAGTGTCATTGGAAGATGTCGATAAGGAATTCCACATGTGGGTTATCTCCTATGTGCAACTAGCAGTGGCGTGATGTTGATGAAGCTTTTGCGAGGAATATTACTTGCAACATGGTAGGAGGTTGCGTGTATGATTTTGGCTGGAGATTCAGAATGTTCATGAAAGGCTTAATAAAAAACTTCGAGAAGTCTAGCAAATTAATGGTGCGAGACCTTGGTAATTGAGAAGGAGAAATCCTTACGGGTTCTAATTTTATATAATTGCAGCTTAAGTCTAAGTGGGGGAGTATGCTATCGACGAGTTGATTGCACGATTATGGGTCGTATTAGTTTCGATTCGGGGGTATACCGGTGAATCAGTTATGACTTGCAGAGGTCGAGATCAAGGATGACTCGGGTAAAGGAATTTCTAGACACAAGTTGTATTATACTCTATGGTTATAGGAGGACCATAAAATAATTGAGTGGTTATTCATAGAGAATGTAGTGTACATGGAGCGGGAATTTGCTCGGTTGCGTAGGAGTGTGGGTTACTCTTTATTCCCTTGGGTGTTGGTGTGCTAATGGGGCAGAGGTCGTTTCGGTCCGTTTGGTTGGTTAATTCGAGATTTGAGTAGAGTGGACGAGTCTCGAAAATGGTTCCAATGGATTCAAGATTTATAAATATGGCTAGAAAATCGGGAGTTGAATTGAACGGTGTTGAGACTCGTGGCATCTTATATCATTGTGAACTATGCATTTCAGTATCAAGAAGGTGAAGGAAACAATTTTAGGTTTATATAAAGTCTCTTCGGAGTAAGCATTTTTTGTTGTGGAACCTTTGGGATACATAAAAAGGGAATTCGGCGGCTTAGGGCGGCGTGATTCTATGCTAGAGTTCGTGGGGTAAGTTTTAGTTAAGGATAGTAGTGTTCTAACAAGGAAAAATTAGCAATTTGAAGGCAATTTAGAAAAAACTTGGTGAAATAGGACAGCTTGTTAGTAGGTTGGGTTAGCATAGTAATGGGTATGATCGGTTTTTTGGGTACTTATGATGTGGCTAGTATCTACAGGTGTTTCGTGGCAATGCTCTCGAATTTGGCAACCTGTGTGGCTTGGTGGAGTTAGAGGAATTCAGTTCAGATACCTTGGTTATGTGCAAATGGATTTCAAAGTGTTCATGATGGTTTCTACCATGGTTTGAATCGGATATTTTCTACCGATGTACGGAACGTGTTGTGTGTTATGATTTCCTCCTAGAAAGAAGCAAGAAAGAGGTTTCTGACTAATAAGGTATGTAATTTGCTAGTGACTCAGAGTTGATGATGGAATTCTTATGCTTGTCACATGATGGCATAATAGATGTGGTGTGTTGTGCGGGAATAAGATTTACATGTACAAGGTCACAGTTCAGTTTTGAAGGGAAGTACATAAATTCTTAGGCAGCATGGATGGTTTCAGATGACTAGGTAAATGATATTACTATTTGTTATGGCTTGATGAGAGTGTACATTTCAGAAGGGACGGTGTGTTTTGATTTATGGGTATTTCGCTGGTATTGCGGCACTCTCCTGGTTGATCGACTGTTGATATTCAAATTTTTTTTTTGCCAGGTGGCACGGAAGAATTTTTAAAGTATTTCTCGTGGGATAATTGTGCATGAGAGAGGTGTTAGGCATTCGTGCGGTGGAGGTAGAATCAAATATGGTGATTCATGTGTTCTATAGAATTGGAGATTGGGATTTCTCAGGAGCATATTGTTTCATGGTTGTGCATTGTGAAGTTGTGGCTAGAGCTAGCCAGATTATAGAAGGTGTTATGATTCCGTCATTGTGGACTTTCGGAGGTTGTTTATCTATTAGTGGCTGACCATAGTTGATTTGGGGCCCATTGGTAGGCCCAATTAGGATGTGTATTCTACACCGAGCCGGATTGATTGGCTCCATACTGCTATTGTTGAAGGATGTGCCATTCGGTTGATGTGAAGATTATTCGTGTTCTGAAATGATAAGTGAGTTACTCTTCTATACTACGAGGAGTTGTGATTCGTTGGTTACATGCACCTATGGTGCGGTTCTATTGTGGCCTTATAGCGGAATTTGAGCGAGAATAGTATTGGATATTGCTTGGTTGATGGCGTATTGGTTATGTTCTTTTGGGTTTTATGTGGCATGATGTCATTTGCTTCTCCGTGGTTATGGTAATGCACTTTGTGTACTTGATGTCAAATTGCGCATGGTTATTGATTTTAGCAGGGTGGCTTGAGGTGTTTCATATGGACCAGTATTTGGATAGGGTCGCGTATTGCAGTAGAGTTATGTGGAAATATGATCCCTCGTGTAAGATTCGTGTGTTATGGTTCTGCAGTGTATGACGGGTTCTTAGCATTGCGTCGGGGTAGTACTCGTCGAGCTTGCGGAACAGTTCTCCTGTTTGGGTCATTATTACGATTGGGTACATTTGGAATATTGCTATCTGGTGCACGGATTGCACGGGTTGTGGCTTTAGATTGTATTGATGTGTCATGTCACTAGAGTGGTCGTGTTGGATGAGATGAGGTCATTGGGCCTAGAATGGATTCTATCAGATTTGATTGTGGTATAATTGGGAGGATAATATTGGAAGTCGGCTTTGAAATTGGCTATAGTTCTTGTAGAAGGAACGGGAGTTCCATGACCTGGTGGTCTAATGAGTGGTTATGAATTCAGTATGTTTCTTTCATCATCGGCAGAGTACGAAGATTTTAGAACGAGGTTTTGTCTGATATGAGGTTTATTACCAGCATTGGGTTGATTTGAGTCGATACTGTGATTTGAAATCATTGCTTCGAGCATTCGAGCTATGCGGTATTTGAATTTGAGTATTTGAGTTATGGTTACGGCTTTTGATACAACTTGTTAACACTTATACGGTATGTAGATGCGAACTTCTAATCTAATAAGAAATTTCGGATGTCGGAAATTTGATTCGAAGGTTTGTGGGCTAGGTTGAATTGAGGAATTTTAGTTATGATGTGCTATCAGACCTGTATGGGGTAGGGTGACATGGGATCACCCCCGGGTATGTGCATGGGAAGGTTACATAGCTATTTCTTGGTTTTGGAACAACTCTCGGCACGTTCAAGGACGAACGTATGTTTAAGTGGGAGGGATGTAACGACCCGGCCGGTCGTTTCGGGAGTTATAGCCCCGTTTCTCCCATTTCTGTTTCCTTTATGCTCTTAAGCTATATTATGATATACTAGGTTAGTTGGTTCGGGCCCGGGGTGGTTTCGGAGTGGAATGAGACACTTAGTCTCTTATTTAGAACCTTAAGTTGGAAAAGTCAACCGGATATTGACCTATGTCTAAATGATCTTGGATTTGAATTATGATAGTTCTGTTAGCTCCGCTAGG